CCATCAAGAAATGTTCTATTATCGGTAATACTCACATCAGTTGTAGTAACTTCATCAAGATAGGATGATTTCTTTGAAATACTGGATTATAGACTATTTAATAAGGATAGAGTAGTAAAAAGAAGGGCAGTAGTGGCTTTGTATGTAAAATATGAGTTACATCCAGTTGAAGATGAGAATATCAAAGGTAGCAGCAAGGGGATTGAATCAATTAGGGTTTCTGTTGGTAGATATAAAGGGAAAAGGTTTTTAGTGGGAATTTGTTAGAGCCTAATTATGAGGGAGAAAGGTTTCTGGAAACTGATCAAGATGGTTTTCTTCACCAATTGATCAAGGAATCTACTAGAAACAATGCTATTTTAGACTCATTGTTAACTTCTAATATGGAAATGGTTGAGAAGGTGTAAATTTGGGTACAAGTGATCATTATTCTATTATGTTCGATGTTTTGCTGCATATGGAGATCAGGAATAGTGATATTTTGGTTTCAAACTTCAAAAAAGCAAATTTTGAAGGGATGTAACAAGAATTATCTGTTGTGAATTGGGTAGCTGAGTTATTTGGAGATACTGATCTGATGTGGAAAATTTTAATGATAAATTCTTGAATATTCAAGACTTATTCCTTATAAAAAGAAAAGGGTGGCTGCAAGTAAAAAAACAGATTGGCTCACAAAGGGTATAAGATATAAAATTAAAGAAAAAGCATCACAAATTTAAGAAATTGAAACTTACTGGTATGACAAGAGATTTATAAGATTATAGAAGATCAAGTGAGTTGGTCAAACAGAAAGTTAGGACATGAAAAATAATGCATGAAAAATGGTTGGTTGAAATGTAAAAATTAACAGCAAGGATTTCTTTAAATACAATAAGGGTAAACAAAATGTTAGGATAGGAATAAGACCTTTGAGGGATTATAAAGGAAGGCTTGTGTCTGATGATTATAAGATAGATGGGTTATTAAATTTTGCATTTTCTTCAATTTTTACTAATGATGATTTGAACACTATTCCTCATCCTGAACAGATGATAGATGGAAACAAAGTTGAACAAGATGATCACATTAATTCTGAGTTTGTTAAGAAAAAATTGGGAAGTTTAAAGTTCGACAAAGTTTCTTACTTTAATTCTGTAAAAGTTTTTGGAAAGTCTGTTAAAAGATGCTTTGCAAAGTCATTTAACAAAGTTTAGAATTTTATTGGATAGTCAACATGGTTTCACTAAGAGAAAATCTTGCCTTACAAATCTTTCAACATTTATTGAAAAGGTTACTGCTTATGTAGATGAGGGTAAGGGTGTAGATTTGGTGTATCTGGATTTTCAGAAAGCATTTGACAAGGTGCCACATAAAAGGCTTGTAAAACATTCAGTCAAACTGGATTAATGTTACAAGTGGAGCACCTCAGTGCTTGGTCTTAGAACCTTTGCTCAATGACATAGATGAAGGGATAGTCAATAAATTACTTAAATTTGCTGATGATATTAAGGTATTGGGTGTTGCTGGCTGCTGCTTTACAAAATGATTTGGACCATTTAATGAGTTGGGCAAATAAATGTTAGATGGGTTTTAGTTATAACAAATGCAAGATAATGCATCCTAATTTGAATTATAAGTATAATTTAAAGTTTTATGTAATACAAGGATCTAAGTTTAGTGGTTGATCAGTCTCTAAGTCATCCAAGTAGTGTGCTGTTGCTACTTGTAGGGTAAATAGGATTTTTTATTTGTATCTACAAAAATATTGAATACCAGTCTAAAGATGTTATAATTTTATTTCATAGGTCATCGGTTAGGCCACATTTGGAGTATTATTTTCAGTCTTGGGCTCCTTATCCTAGAAAGGATATTTAATTGTTAGAAAGGGTTCGGAGGAGGGCTACTATGATTATTCCTGGGATGGAAAGGTTGTCATACAAGGTGAGGTTAAGATCTCTTAAATTATTTTCTCTTGAAAAATAGAGTTATAGGGGATCTGATTCAGGTGTTTAGGATTTTTTTAGAAACCTGATAGTGTTGATGCACCATCTTTTTTCATACTTACTAGTGAGAATCGTAGGACTGAGAGGTACAAGTATAATTTTTTTGCAGGATAGTAGTCATC